TTCAGACGGCGACTATGTGGCCGTGCTGGAGGAGGTGGAGGGCCGCGCAGTAGTGCGTGTGGCCCTGGTGGAGGGGCTGCTCTGCCCCCAGGGGCGTGGCAGGGGTGCAGCCCGTTCTCGCCTGTCTACCACCAGGCGGCTTGACATCGGTAACCCAGATGGCAGGTTGCTGCTCCGCCTTCTACACCCTTCGCAAACCGGTGAGGCAGTCATCTGTGCGGGTGGAATGCAAGCGCCTTGGGGCTAATGACTCGGAACCTGTATGTAGGCGCAAGCGGACAATACTTCCTACCACACGCGGTCGACCGGGACCCGAACGAGCTGTGGGAGACCAAGTCCATCGTCCAAATCGTGTGCATGACCCCTGGCCCGGACGCCATCCTAGGCGGCAACTACAACCTGGACCAACAGGACACGCAGGTGTGTGTAGTCGATGACAGACAGTTGTATCGGTGGCACAAGTCGGCTTACAGGATACTTTCGTGTACCCTGCAGGCGCTGCGTGCGTACTGCACCGCCAACCAGTGCACCCTCGACGATGGAGAGGGGGATGAACCGAGGAGGCGGCGTGGAAAGGGCAGGGCGGCGCCTAAGCCCGAGGGGCTCCGCCAGCGGAAGCTACAACGGGACATGGACCCAGACACTTTGGCGGACTTGAACAGTGTGCTGGAAAGGCCCATGCCGGTACCGGTCGGACACAGCACCCGCGGTCGGCCGAGGTACAAGAAAGTGCCCCACAACGCATGACCTGTTGGCCTTCCGGTCGAGAGGCTACTGCCTCGTTCGATGCAACGTCGCCGTTTGTACGTGAGAGTGGCGGGGCGCTGACGGCATGCATGGCAGGCTACATGGGTTGGGGCAACAACGCGCCCCCTCGCAGCATGATCTAGGCGTTGTGCATTCGGAGATTGTGCGTGTGTGCCGTTGTTCAATGCGGCCCTTTAGTGTCGTACGATGCTTGTAGAATGAACCGCCTGCCTACCTGTACACTTTTGTCGCCGTTTGTGCCGTAACGTGAATAAGGAGGGGCGTCGGGGACTGTGCGCTGACGGCATGCGCGACTAGCTTCGCGGGTTGGGGCAACAACGCGGGCCCCCCCCCCCCCCGCAGCATGATTGTTGTGCATTCGTAGGGTGTGTGTGTGCGCGCCGTTGTTCGGAACGGTACGGGGCCAGATAAGTCGATGCGGCCCTTTAGTGTCGTACGATGCTTGTAGAATGAACCGCCTGCCAACCTGCCTGTGTTAAAATGGATACCCTGCTTGCAAAATGCTCGACTTTGCCCAGTCTATGAGATAATAATATGCGCTAAACGACTTGGAGGCAACCTTCAGCTGGTCAGCTTGACGTGGGAGGGTTTGGGATAGAAACCTCAAAGGGATTGAGATTGACCACGAGGGGATTGAGATTGCCCTATGAGGGGATTGAGATTGCCTCACGGGGGGATTGAGATAGACCAACAGGGGATTGAGATTGACACAACAGGGGATTGAGATTGACACAACAGGGGATTGAGATTGACACAACAGGGGATTGAGATTGACACAACAGGGGATTGAGATTGACACAACAGGGGATTGAGATTGAGACCCCTTGGATTGAGTTTACACTTTCGGATTGAGACCAAGGGGTGGTTAGGATTGAGGCCAGTTGCCTACCCTCCTTCATCCGCTTCGGTTATCCCCTTCGTTTACTCGCATCAGTTGACTTCAGCTCCCTTTTGTTTGGGGAAAGCCGAAAGAGCAACCAAAGGAGATGACAAGGAAGACAAACCAGCGGAGATAGAACCCCGAGAAAGATTGACTTAGGGTTTGAGTTAATGCCTTCTCCCCAAAGCCTATAATGTTCCGTGTAGAATGGAAGGCCAAACCACATAAGCGGCGGGTCTAACCCCTTCATACCGGAAAATCTTGAATCCACTACCCAATAATCTTATGCGGACATCAAGGCAGCGGGTAGCGACGCAACGATTGTTTTGACGGCTTTCCCTTGTACGCATCAACGAAGTCCGCACCACAAGTTGCACATGCAAGCAAACACCGCACACTACATATGAATAAGCGGGCGTACCAGCTTAGGTTACGGTGCTTAGGCTTTCCTGCATGCGCGTGCAGTAACACTATCCCCCATGTCCTACCTTCTCTACCTTATTCACGACGCTAAACCTTTACGTATGAACAAACACCAGCCTTCGGTGTCGTTGGAGTACCCACAGTCTTCAAGCATGCATAAGCCGATCCGTCGTTGTTCAGGTACCAGGTGTTAAAGCTCTTGCACCTTGTGTCGGAGTTGCAACGGCTGATGGCATCTGTTAGGCTAAGCTGAACACAGTAAATGTCGTCTCCGAAATGATCCTGGTCCGCTGCCAGTTTGTAACCCGGGACTTGAGCACAGGCTGCAGGCCGCAAGTGTAACCGGGACAAAGCAAGCCGGGATGATGATTGAGTTTGCGAGCGATTGCAATATGAATTGGACGTTCATCTGTACAGCCGTTGGGGCCCAGCTAATAAACTCACCTATACTAAATCCAACAACACAATTAACTTTTCTTTCCGAAATGAACATTTCGCAGACGTATCTTAATAATCCCTCGTGCAATCCGTGTATTCTAGCGCAGCTTAATCCTATCCTGGCCGTGCGTGTTCCTGTATGTATGTTCTACTCCACGTATCGCTTGGAGTTTATTAAGATGCATTGGCAGGTGCGACATCAAGTTGCAGTGTCATTCCCCATCTCGCATAGATGGATAGATGGATGGATGGATGGATGGATGGATGGATGGGATGGATGGATAGCTAGCTAGTCAGATAAATAGCTCATACATACATACATCGATGGACAGATAGATAGATAGGTAGATAAATAGATAGATAGGTAGATAGATAGGTAGATAGATAGGTAGATAGATAGATAGATAGATAGATAGTAGATAGATAGATAGATAGATAGGTAGATAGATAGGTAGATAGGTAGGTAGATAGGTAGATAGATAGGTAGATAGGTCATACATATGGAGCGCATATACAGATGTTTATGGGTGTTCAATGGCTTACAATTATTGATCTTGGTGTAGAAACAAATACCATTTGCGTTGGCCAGCGGACTGGCTACACGTTTGGCGCAGCTCCACTGCGTTCCATCCTGGATGGTGTAGGAATTGAATGCTTTGCAATCTGATCTGCTCGAGCAAATGCTGGCTCCCCCATTAGCGGTGGTTATTTGACAGTTGATGTCATCGCCATAGTGGTCAGCAGCAGGCGAAAGGGTGTAGCCGGGGATGACGGCGCAATCTGCGTTAAGATTTAGCACGCAGTCAGCACAGGCACTGCAGACGCATGCACCAGCAACAATTAACATCAGCAGCAGCCAGCAGCTTCACGCACATGCACATACAGTATAGACCATGACGAACTTGCTGTCGAACAGGAAAGCATGCAAGGGTCCCTATCCATTATACCAGTGCAATATCAACAGACCCTAAAACAAGCTACAGACGTGCTTACTTACTCGTCGTGACCTTGGTGTAAATGCAAGCACCCGATGCCGGAGACGTCGGTGCGGAAGCATTCTTCAAGCAGCCGGCCAGGTTCCCTGAGCTGGAATCCACGTACGTGTTAAAGGCCTTGCACCTGCTATCGGTGGTGCACCGACTGGCTGCTGTCTCGATGGTAATAAGCCCCTCACATGCAAGGTCATCACCCGGATGATCCATATCAATGGCAACAGTGTAGCCCGCGATTGGAGGGCACGCTGCACGTGGGGCGGTATTCATTGCGCACACGGCAGCGGCGGATAACAATTGTACGTGCGTTGAGAGGGTCACTGTACTACTTATTAAAATGGCAAGAACAGGATCAGGAGCATGCAGGAGCACTGTCATGGCTGGACCGACTACAGGATTTATCAGAGAAAAACGCCTGGATAATGAAGGTGAGGGCTATTGTCGATCGTCAGAAAAACCATTCCTTAAGGAAGGGTAGTACTGCAAGCGCATAATTGCAGATTCTAATCCGGGTCGGAATGAGAACTGGTCGCAGGAGCTGTGAGAAGGGGACGGGACTGACAACATTGTCATATAACCATAAAATCACAATCCTACGCGACCTCAAATAACCAAAATCCCACGGGATATGCCCGGGGGCGCCCGAGGAGGTTCACTCGAGGGGGGGAGGGATGTAAGAAGCTTCTTACATTAAGGGTACAGCTTCCTTGGCATCACCCTGAGTACTCCTAAGCTTTGCCTTGAGCGGTGATTGGACGGTGGTCGACATTATCCACTTTCTTTCTTAAATTTGATAAAAAAAACAGGATATATATTTTGGGGTATATTTCCCAATATATGAGCCGGCCGCTTTCCATTACATACCTCGGTAATAGCAGATTCCTGCCAATGGTCGTACAGGCCCAGCTATGCGCTTAATACAGCCCCAGGTAGCATTGTTGACTACATATGAGTTGAACGCTTTGCAGTCGCCGTTGGAGGAACAGGCCCCCGCGACACCCTGCTGGCTAATTACGCTGCACCAAATATCATCCCCTACGTGGTCTCTGTCGACCATGAGTGAATAGCCTGAGAACCTGCTGCAGGCTGCAAGGGATGAAGTATGCATATGGGCAAGTGAGATAGAGGCGTACGTATGTATTTACCAACAATGCTATGTATTTAAGCTATAGCTTAACCAGCCATACCCTTTATTACAATGCTTCCGTTTCGTTTAAGTTGCTCATAAGCATAATTATGTGTACATGTACATGTGGGCAATGTGAAACATACACCTACTCGGGGCTGGCATATGAATCAAGCCTTTGCTCGATGGCATCGATGTATGATGTGTGAAACAGGGGGGTGTATCTCGCCCGTGGCAGCTACCCTGCGAAACCCTGCCTTCCCCGGTATTTCGGGGCACCCTCATCCAGTCACCCTAGTACTAGTCAACTTCTCAGTGGATCGCTCAGGTTCCGCACCAACCACCAGCATCCAACGGAATCTGCCGGGTCGACAGCGGCCCAACTCCTTTCCTGGTCGGCTCGCAAATTAACTTTTTCCCAGGTCACCACCGTCCATCAACTAGGGGCGCAATGCCTTCCATCATCGGAAAAGCTTTGAACCTAATGGGTATCGTTCCCGGGATTTCCCGGGGGCATTGGTCGCGCCTTTACCAGTAGTGCCAAACCCTAGTATGATAGATATATGTATGTTGGAATCGCCAGAACCATTGCTGGTAAGAGCCATGATGAGCCATGGTTACATGATGATGAGCCACGATTACCCTGAAATGTGGGCTTTATTAAGATGGTGTCTGAGGACAGGTTGGATTTACTTCCAATCACGTGCAAGTGGACGGCAACATGGGCCGCAGGCATAGTGATTCCTGCGTGACAAAATACTGATGGCGGCCAATGTGGACTGTATGTTGCAACCCTTTCATCGTTGAATCCCTTAATACGTGCTAGGCTTCATGGTCCCACCCGGAGCAACTTAAACTTTCATTTTTTACTTGGTATGTCGGACCTGAGCATGCATGCACGCAACATCAATAAAATTAAGGAAGCCAGCTAGCTGTCACTAGCCACACCAAACACACCCGCCTGCTGTGCATGTGTGTAGGTCATGCATGGAAGAAGGAAAGAATGAGACCTGAAGCGATCAACGAAATATGCGTGCGTAGAAGGCTTGCAGATGTTGTGGGGTTCAGTGATATCACTGGAATATCGATATTATATGAACAGGAATATCGATATTCCTGTTCATTCCTGCAGGTATGAGAGCTGCACACCTAGGTCTACTACCGCACTAGCTGGATTCCCACATTACCCTGCACACCTAAACTTCCTATACTTACACGAAATCAGAGTATCAGCCCTGGATGAATAATGGTCTGCTGGTGGCC